TTGGTTATGAAGGAAAACATTGGAGGAAGAAAACATTCCGACAACCACTATTCACTACAGGTTTTCCCTGTCTGCGAATACTTAATAATTCACACCTTCCGCACACAACATTCCAGACCCTAACATGAAGCTTTGCATACGCACATTTCAGGATCGATATAAGTTCGGCTATAATCCTTCACCTCCGGCGATAGATTCGTTTAATGGGTTTAAAGCTTATCGACTACACGAAGTCACTGTCACCAGTATATAACCAGATGCGAATACTTTAATCCCTTAAATAGGGATAAACTCTCAGCTTATATATGCTTAGGGATACACACTTCTTTGTGGATATAACCTTCTCTAGTGATAAGAGTAATTCATCTCGGCGTTGAGTCGCCATTGATCGCTGCAACGCCGCTCAAGGGGCGAGTAATTTGACCTTTCGGGGCGATAGTCATCTTCCCCTCCCCTCCTCTTCACCCCCCCCCCTATTTTCCACTCCTCACTCACTCTCCTCCCCTCTCTGCTTTCCTCCCTCCCCTTACAAATTTACCGTCCTCCCTCCCTCTATTTCTCCTGGAACGAAACCTTTGAAGCTCGTGCAGAAGCTGAGCCTTAAACTGGTGGAATATTTGACAATATCCTCATTGCTCTATCGAAGCCCCACAGCTCAGGTAGACAAACTCGACAGTAACATGTGTGTAAATTACCTAAGATAGCCCCAAAAAAGTTATTTTCATTATGGTCCTTGTATATGTATCCCATCCTGTGTGATGAAATATGATGGAGAAATACAGCTAGCTTTTATTCCTGGTATAAAAGTACCATGACCAACCGGGCTGTGGTTCGTACGTCAGCTTGCGTGCGGCCAGTAGCAACAGCCTGGTTGATCAGACCCTGATCCACCGTGAGGCCTGGTCTCAGACCGAGCCGCGGGGGCGTTAACCCCCGAAACCCTCTCCAGGTAAACCATATAGAACAGGGTAGCATCACTCTGCTGATGCATCACATCTTCATAAAAAAAATCGTGGAAGGCAAGGGAGCGTCCCCACGAGTGGGAGGAAGTCTCGAGTCATTGTATCTTAGGGATGAGTCCCTGGGTACGATGACTGTTGAAGAAGAAACAGTTATGTAGATGTAGCGCACTAGCTTCTCTTACCCACTAACGCTCTTGACTAATACAGCTGCATCTCTTAATAACGCACCCGACTTATCCACTAACTCATATGACTGTTTCACTCAACCTTAGCTTAACAGTATCATGCCGTTACCTCATATCAGTTTCACGTCCCACACAGCAGTTTGTGTGAAGGCAGCCTCGCCCATACATACACTCACTTTCACTCCCATCCATGCAGAGGTTATACACTCATCCTCCCGTGTTAGCTTCACTCACTACTTTCACTGCCCAAACACTGCTTGCCCTTCTCATTAATCGCCTCCCACACCAACATTCACAAACACTCGCCCGTATTTACACCTAAAGTTTAGAGGGCTTTTTAACTATCATGAATAGATATTTGCAGTAGGTCTCCGGTTAATTTACATTTATAGGCATTCTTAATGTTTACTATATAGTACTTGTATTGTAATTTCTAGCAGGATGTGACCCACTAGCCAACTAACGTAGAGGTACCCATTTTTTACCGCTAGGTGAATTAAGGTAGCAGGTTTTAGTAGATTGACTCGTAATGGGATCGAAACAAGGACCGTTTGGCTGTGAGCTGAATTTTCTAACCTCCGTTACTCCAGGAAGTAAAGAAATACAAATAAAAGAGAAGGGATATAAGACAATGGTGCTGGTGGATCTATGACCGTTAACCAAGTACACAATATATAACAGCTGTTTTATTGACTTGATAAGACTCTACACAGAGCGAAACGTTGTCACAATTAGAGATTGTTCTGTACCTGTGCTTTGACTTGAGACGTGAAGGACTAGGGTATTTCGAATTCAGTAACCACATGATGCACTTCGGAACATTAAGGGATACCCTAGTCATCCACCCTGAATTTGCAAGTGCTGAGAGCAGTCTAAACATGGACAGGTGTAGCTAGTTGTAGTGTGTATTGTGCTGCACATGCAAGGAACCCGTGTCCTTCACCTCTCATACGGGTGTGGCAAGTTGTAGTGTGTACTCACCTATATGTGGTTGCAGTTGTCGATTCACAGCTCCTGGCCCAGTAGTATGTGTGTGTGTGTACTCACCTAGTTGTACTCACCTAGTTGAGGTTGCAGGGGTCGAGTCCAAGCTCCTGGCCCCGCCTCTTCACTGGTCGCTACTAGGTCACTCTTTCTGCTCCATGAGCTAAATTTATCTTACCTCTTCTTAAAACTATGTATGGATCCTGCCTCCACTACATCACTTCCCAGACTATTCCACTTCCTGACAACTCCGTGACTGAAGAAATACATCCTAATATCCCTGTGATTCATCTGAGTCTTGAACTTCCAATTGTGACCCTTTGTTGCTGTGTCCCATCTCTAGAACATCTTGTCTCTGTCCACCTTGTCAATTCCTCTCAGAATTTTATATGTCGTTATCATATCCCCTCTCTCTCCTGTCCTCCAGTGTCGTCAGGTCTATTTCCCTTAACCTCTCCTCGTAGGACATGCCCCTTAGATCCGGGACTAGTCTTGTTGCAGATAGTGCCGTCTGTGTAGATGAAGCTACAGAAAGGGAGGAGAATGATATCCTGTATAATTAACATTCGTGTACATATTATTGCAAGCTAATTCTCCCTATTTAATGTTCTTGTATATAACTCATTTCACTTTATTCCTATTGTATCTCTTTTTTTTCTATAATAATTTTCACGCATAATCATGACTGGTTTCTGCTGTATCTTAGAGCTAAGCTGTAAATAATAAGATACTACCGGGACTTCCCCAGTGGAAATATGTCACTTTGACTTTTTTGGGGGTTAGTCTATGTAATTTACACATTTGTTGCTATGTATGATAACTGTAATCACCTAAATTTGTATAACTGTATTTGTGTATCTGTACCTAAGATAAACTTATTATTTTTTACACATCAACATCAACAGGCAAACATAAACCACTGGGAAACGCCTGGGAAGTAGCGAGTAAATGTGAACAACAGTTTCTTATGCATTTCCTTGCCACGTAACGCATGTATATTTTGTCTCCTGAACGGTTCCCATCATGAGGATGGCTTTCCTGTGATACTCCATCACACATGATGGCTTTCCTGTGATACTCCATCACACATGATGGCTTTCCTGTGATACTCCATCACACAGGATGGCTTTCCTGTGATACTCCATCACACAGGATGGCTTTCCTGTGATACTCCATCACACAGGATGGTTTTCCTGTTATATTCCATCACACAGGATGGTTTTCCTGTTATATTCCATCACACAGGATGGTTTTCCTGTTATATTCTATCACATAGGATGGTTTTCCTGTTATATTCCATCACACAGGATGGTTTTCCTGTTATATTCTATCACATAGGATGGTTTTCCTGTTATATTCCATCGCATAGGATGGTTTTCCTGTTATATTCCATCACATAGAATGGTTTTCCTGTGATACTCCATCACGCAGGATGGTTTTCTTGTTATATTTCATCACACAGGATGGTTTTCCTGTGACATTCCATCACACAGGATGGTTTTCCTGTGACATTCCATCAAACAGGATGGTTTTCCTGTTATATTCTATCACATAAGATGGTTTTCCTGTGATACTCTATCACATAGGATGGGTTCCCCGTTATACTCCATCACACAGGATACCTTTGGGTATGTATAGTAGTTAGAAGACGTGGTCTCAAGAGCTTGACCTTATCCCTAACTAATATACTAAGGTGAGAGTACTCACACACCAGTTAGTTTAATATGTTTATTATGCACCCCATACCCATCCTGTGGGCGGTAATCAAAAGATTAGTTATCTTCATTGTAGAATAATAAGAAAATATTATAACCTTTATATTATAATAATAAGGTAAAAGGACCCCAATGGAAATAAGTCACTCTGTCTGACTTTTTTGGGTTATCCTAGGTTCTCTACACATATGCTGCTATGTATGATAATTCTATGTAACTGTATTTGTGTATACCTGAATAAATTTACTTACTTACTTAGATAATTGGTCCAGGGACTGGACTCCAAAGTTTTGATAGCTGAGCAAGTTACAGAGGTAATGAACTCACATTTTTCAAAGGTAATAACTCACAATTTACAAAGGTAACCACCAACACGGGGTATTTACACTAAGTAGTGTTTTCTGTATGTCGAGGTGTATACTGTATATACAGAGAGGTGTATATACATATTTCTGTTTATATACACCGAGAGGATAATCTTTATTTATACCAGTACATGTACAAGGTATACAAGCCTAGCTAACATCAATGACATACTACTATATAGAAAGCCCCTTATGCTGAGCATTTCTGGTAAATTAGGTCAATTTTGTCCCTAGGATGCTACTCACACTAGTCGACCAGGTACCTATTTTACTGATAAGTGAACAGGGACAGCAGGTGTCTTAAAGGAACACAACCTAATGTTTCCACTCGTACCGGGGATCATTGTTCTGGCTTGAATTACGCTTTTCTTCATTTAATATTGGCCCCTCAAGGAAGGTTCCTTGATGTTGGTGAGGGGCTCTTGATTTAGGGAATTGGATCTGTGCTCCATTTCCCAAATTAAGCCTGAATGCCTTCCACATCCCCCCCAAGGCGCTGTATAATCCTCCGGGTTTAGCGCTTCCCCCTTGATTGTAATAATAATAATAATTCATTTAATATTAATTAATATACATATATGGCAACTTAGTTGTGTATATTTAATCTTAAATATCTGGTAATTGCCTCATCAAGCGGAACTTTTTTTTGGCTTATGACGTCACACTGAACTTTAACCTTTCCGGGTTACAAGCCTCAAAATATTTCCGCGCAGTGACGTAATATCTATAATCATGTACCATATAAAGTAATACAAAAAAATATGATGCGATTAGTAAATAAAAATATGTTAGACGTAAGTAAGTAAAAATTTTGCTCGAATCTTCGAGAAATTATAATGGACATACGCTGGTAGCCCCTACAAGGGTGAATGTAAACAGTAAGGAGTGAGGCGACGGTGAGGTGAGACGAGTTTATTTATTTATTTATTTATTTATTTAGAAATTTTAGCATACAAACAGAGGTACAAAAAATACAGGTAAGAGCAGCATGCCAAAGCCACTTATATGCATAGCATTACGGGCTGGCTTAAGATTAACTAAGCAATGATGAAATCAGTGATAATACATTATTGTAAACAGATAACTATAAAATACAAATGAGTATTACAGACAGGTCCTATGGTTGCATGCATTGCTGTTCATTCAGTAGAATGGAGTATTCTGTTAGGTATTGTATTTAAAAAAATAACAAAGTTAGGTTTAACATTTGTGTGATATAATTGTGAGTAACATTTAGGATATACAATTTATATGGTTCAGTTATTCAGTATTTATTTGGTTTTGAGTGAGTAAGTGAACTTTGAGAAGAGACTTGAATTTATAAACAGGTAGTGTTTCTTTTATATTTACAGGTAATGAGTTCCAGATTTTAGGGCCTTTTATGTGCATTGAGTTTTTGCATAGCGTGAGATGGACACGAGGAACATCAAAGAGTGATCTGTGCCTTGTATTATGGTCATGTGTTCTGTTGAGGTTGGCAAGGAGATGTTTGAGGGGAGGGTTAATATCAGAGTTAAGTGTTCTATGTATGTAATAGGTGCAGTAATAAGTATGGATGTTTTGTATGGTGAGTAGGTTGAGTGTTTTGAATATTGGTGGAGTGTGCTGCCTGTAGTGAGAATTTGTTATCATTCTAACTTTAGTAACTTTATTTAGTAACTTTATTTAGGTACAAGTACACGTAAATGCAGTTACACAAGTTATCATACATGCATGCTAGTGGCTTAATTTGTATTTAACAGTATTTTATTACATGTAATATTACACGCCCCGGCAAGGATGAAAAGATTACGCGTGTTTTCTTACACCTGTTGTCCTGTCCACCTAGCAAGCAAGTAGGTACCTTAAATTTGTTGTCCTGTTCACCTAGCAAGCAAGTAGGTACCTTAAATTTGTTGTCCTGTTCACCTAGCAAGCAAGTAGGTACCTTAAATTTGTTGTCCTGTTCACCTAGCAAGCAAGTAGGTACCTCAAATTTGTTGTTCTGTTCACCTAGCAAGCAAGTAGGTACCTTAAATTTGTTGTCCTGTTCACCTAGCAAGCAAGTAGGTACCTTAAATTTGTTGTCCTGTTCACCTAGCAAGCAAGTAGGTACCTTAAATTTGTTGTCCTGTTCACCTAGCAAGCAAGTAGGTACCTTAAATTTGTTGCCCTGTTCACCTAGCAAGCAAGTAGGTAAATTAGACATATGTGCAACTCTTGGGTATCTTTATTGAGGAAACGTTTCGCCACACAGTGGCTTCATCAGTCCATACGTAGGAGAAACTTGAAGAACAGGAGGAGAATGAGGTAATCAGTCCCTCAACCTTGAGTCGATGTGTTCAGTCCATCAATCTTGAATAGAATACGGCATATGAGCTGAGAAGCAGCTTATAAACCGTATTGCAGGAGAGGTGCAGCAGTCATAGGTGGTGTCACATTTGTTCAGTGTGGAAGTAGGTCGTGCCCAAGAATTAGGCAAGCAAAGAATTCCTAAGTATTAAGATCCCAAGAAGTTGCAGTGTCTGACAGGTTTGTAGATGAATGGTTCAGAGAACCGACATGTTGATAAATTAGACACATGTGCAACTCTTGGGTATCTTTATTGGTTTATAAGCTGCTTCTCAGCTCATATGCCGTATTCTATTCAAGATTGATGGACTGAACACATCGACTCAAGGTTGAGGGACTGATTACCTCATTCTCCTCCTGTTCTTCAAGTTTCTCCTACGTATGGACTGATGAAGCCTCTGTGTGGTGAAACGTTTCCTCAATAAGATACCCAAGAGTTGCACATGTGTCTAATTTATCAACATGTCGGTTCTCTGAACCATTCATCTACAAAGCAAGTAGGTACCTGGGTGTTAGTGGACTGGTGTGGGTCGCATCTTGGGGTACAAGATTGAGGACCTCAATGGAAATAAGACAGAGTCCTTGATGACGCACTCCCTTTCTTGAGTTATCCTGGTGGCTAACCCTCCGGGGTTAAAAATCCGAACAGAATCTTATCTCTTACATAAAGAAATAAAGTTGTTTGTGTTTTTTGTGTGGTAACGTGTAAATTTCCTAGGATACCTCCCTCCCCCTCCCCCCCAAAAATGCCAAATATTATAATGGTTTGGTATGTCTTGAAGTTATGGTTTTGCCCGTGTTGCTTACATTAACCACAAATTAGCCTCATATGGCAAAGATATGGTACCTCACCCTGAATTTATATGTACTGAGGCTCAAGGGTATGTTGGTGTGCATATATCCATTAAGATAGATAAGGTAACATAAGATTTTGTTTGGGTTTTTAACCCTGGAGGGTTAGCTGCCCAGAATAACCAAAGAAAGTAGTGCAGTGCATCATTGAGAACTGTTTGTTTTATTTCCATTAGGGTTCTTCAGTCTTGTCCCCCAGGATGCGACCCACACCAGTAGATTAACACCCAGGTACCTACTTGCTAAATGAACAAGGACAGCAGGTGTAAGGAGACATGCCTAACGGTTTCACCTGGCCGGGGATTAAACCACGGACACCAGTGTGAGGTGAGAGTGTTGCCTACCAGCCCATGGGACACCCACCACCATTAAATTGTTAGCATCTATTCTTCATAGATTCATATAGTGCTACATACTAATTTACATTAGATATGTTTCTAAAGTTACCAACGAATCCCGGCTATGTCTCAAAATATTCCTCAAACTTTTGTTGATTTCAAAAGAAAGAACATTCAAAAAGATATTTGGTCGTGGAGAAATCCAATGTGCATACATATTTTCAATAAAGTTTTCTGGTTCATTTTCAGTTTGCTTGAGGCTATTTGATGGTCAGCTGGGTGCCTAAATTTAAACAGATATTGAACAGTGTTGCTAGATAAACAACATTCAGCTTTTTCAGTTTGCTTAATTGTGGTTAAATGCTGTGTTTTTTAATAGGTTTATGTAACCTAATCCAACCTAATCTATAAATTGGTCACTAATTGATAGATATTTAAATAGCCTTTAAAAAACTTTATCAGATTTCTAGGCAGGTAGATGCTTCCTTTTAATTTAAAATCGTGTACTAAGCCAGAGGAAATAGGCATCCTTGAAAATCTGCAAATATAGGACTTAATTTGTTTGTGAGAGAAATTTTGTTAAAACCATAAATAATAGAAATCAGCTAATTTAGAGAACCCTGAATTTGTAGGGAACACTGTACATTTTTTATTTTTTTTTATTATCACACTGGCCGATTCCCACCAAGGCAGGGTGGCCCGAAAAAGAAAAACTTTCACCATCATTCACTCCATCACTGTCTTGCCAGAAGGGTGCTTTACACTACAGTTTTTAAACTGCAACATTAACACCCCTCCTTCAGAGTGCAGGCACTGTACTTCCCATCTCCAGGACTCAAGTCCGGCCTGCCGGTTTCCCTGAACCCCTTCATAAATGTTACTTTGCTCACACTCCAACAGCACATCAAGTATTAAAAACCATTCGTCTCCATTCACTCCTATCAAACACGCTCACGCACGCCTGCTGTAAGTCCAAGCCCCTCGCACACAAAACCTCCTTTACCCCCTCCCTCCAACCTTTCCTAGGCCGACCCCTACCCCGCCTTCCTTCCACTACAGACTGACACACTCTTGAAGTCATTCTGTTTCGCTCCATTCTCTCTACATGTCCGAACCACCTCAACAACCCTTCCTCAGCCCTCTGGACAACAGTTTTGGTAATCCCGCACTTCCTCCTAACTTCCAAACTACGAATTCTCTGCATTATATTCACACCACACATTGCCCTCAGACATGACATCTCCACTGCCTCCAGCCTTCTCCTCGCTGCAACATTCATCACCCATGCTTCACACCCATATAAGAGTGTTGGTAAAACTATACTCTCATACATTCCCCTCTTTGCCTCCAAGGACAAAGTTCTTTGTCTCCACAGACTCCTAAGTGCACCACTCACCCTTTTCCCCTCATCAATTCTATGATTCACCTCATCCTTCATAGACCCATCCGCTGACACGTCCACTCCCAAATATCTGAATACATTCACCTCCTCCATACTCTCTCCCTCCAATCTGATATCCAATCTTTCATCACCTAATATTTTTGTTATCCTCATAACCTTACTCTTTCCTGTATTCACTTTTAATTTTCTTCTTTTGCACACCCTACCAAATTCATCCACCAATCTCTGCAACTTCTCTTCAGAATCTCCCAAGAGCACAGTGTCATCAGCAAAGAGCAACTGTGACAACTCCCACTTTATGTGTGATTCTTTATCTTTTAACTCCACGCCTCTTGTCAAGACCCTCGCATTTACTTCTCTTACAACCCCATCTATACTGTACTTTTATCTGCTTAAATTACTAGTCTTACTTATGTTATATGCTTTATCAACATTTGGTGTCACTTTATGATGCTTTAAAATATGGTACTGTATCTTTGTTTTTTCTAATGTGGATTAGTACATTTTTATTTTGAAAGTAAACTACTTTTCCAAAATGTCAATTATTTTTTCTTAGTGGTGAATATGCAAAGGTTTAATGATAGTTGTAAAATATGCATATAGTGAACTTAGATGTGATTGTGCTAAACTTTTCTGTATTTTTCAGATACATTAGCAGCCATGAGTCTTATGGCCAAAGGCGGCTCTGAGGGGCCTGGTTTTATTGGAATTCGGTTTTGTCAGGAGTGCAACAACATGTTGTATCCCCGAGAAGACAAGGTGACTTTGTACAGTATACATATGCATTACTGTCACCCTCATGGTTTATGGTGCTGCACATGAAGCTTCCATAATATATACACTATTCGTATACAGTATTTACTTTCTATAAATAACAAAAAAAGGCACAATACCGTGACTGGAACGATACACAAATAACCCGCACATAAAAGAGAGAAGCTTACGAAGACGTTTCGGTCCGACTTGGACCATTGACAAAGTCACACTAACCAGAAGTGGAGCAGGATGGCTATATATAGGCAGGAGGAGGTGGTGGTAGTAGTAGTAGTAGTACAAGAATGGTATATAATACCGACAAGATGAAATTAAGACACATGCGCAACACCCGGGCATCCCTATCGTAGATGTTTCGCCATCCAGCCAGCCACTGGATGACGAAACGTCCACAACAAAGACAACCAGACGCCGCACATGTGTCTTAATTTCATCAGTAGTGTAGTAGTAGTAGTAGTAGAAGAGGTAGTAGTAGTGGTAGTGGTAGAAGTGGGAAATAAGGAGGATGAGCCAGTCAAATACAAAGGAAGGGGAGCACTGCAAGAGAGCTAGGTTCCCACTGAGGGAGAGCAAGCGCACAGAGGTGCGTGAAAGGGGAAGTGGTGAAATAAATGAAGAAGGAACAGAAACATGAGACAGAAGAGAGAGAGACAACCCAGAGGAGAAAAGGAAAGAGGAAAGGGGAAGAGGGAGAAGAAGAAAAAGAAAAAGAAAAAATGAGGAGTCAGGTTAAGTCACGGGTGTTCTGAAGTTTGGAGCATTTTACAATGTAGTGGGAGAGGAAGGCATCTACAGAGACAAAGCCAGGGCTAAGGTTCATACAAGGAAAGTTGTGTATTAGAGAGGATTCAACTAGACGGCGACTGTTCGAGTTGGAAGTAGGGAAGACAGTTTTAGCAGAAGACCAGTCAATAGGATGGCTATGATCTCTGACGTGACAGAAAAGAGCATTGTTAGTGTCGGCAAGCCTAACACTATTTTTGTGCTGCTCCCTAAGTCTGTCAGAAAGAGAACGGCCAGTTTCTCCGAAGTATTGAAGAGGACAGGAGGAGCAAGAAATAGAGTAGACACCAGGAACGTCTGTAGAGGGAGGAGAGGTATGAACGAGATTAGTGCGAAGAGTGTTAGTCTGGCGGAAGGTAAGCTTGATGTCTAAGGGACGGAGAGAATTGTTGAGATTAGTGTGACTTTGTCAATGGTCCATGTCGGACCGAAACGTCGTCGTAAGCTTCTCTCTTTTATGTGCGGGTTATTTGTGTATAGTATTTACTTTCTCATTGTATGGTGTGAATAATCCATTTTGTTTAAATTTTTTAGCACCAACAATCTCCCACCAGTGTAGGTGCCTAGCCAGATGTGTCCGGATATCACAATTCAAAGAACCCCTGAATGGCAATATCCCCACCCCATTATGGTCATTAAGTGAATGATAAGTGTGTGGGGTAATCAGATATGAACTGAGTAAGAGTAGGGTAGCTTGGAATGACAGTTAATGTGTCATTCAGACTGCTGCTAGGAAATATTCACTTACAGCAACAAAATAAAAATGGATAATGCTGCTGTTTTTGTTAGGTAATAAAATTAATTTGTCTTGTATATGTATTTTACTTGAAATATATATTAATTTTAAAATTATGCATACAGTACAGATTTTTAATTTTCGTCATTAAAATTTTAAGATGAGTGTTTTGTATACATCTTAATATATATATTTTTTTATTAACACATTGGCCGTTTCCCACCAAGGCAGGGTGGCCCGAAAAAGAAAAACTTTCATCATTCGCTCCATAACTATCTTGCCAGAGGCATGCTTACACCACAGTTAAAACTGCAACACTAACACCCCTCCTTCAGAGTGCTGGCACTGTACTTCCTATCTCCAGGACTCAAGTCTGGCCTGCTGGTTTCCCTGAATCTCTTCATAAATGTTACTGTGCTTAGACTCCAATAGCATGTCAAGTCCTAAAAACTATTTGTCTCCATTTGCTCCTATCTAACTCACTCACGCATGCTTGCTAGAAATCCAAGCCCCTCACACACAAAACCTCCTTTACCCCCTCCCTCCAACATTTCCTAGGCCGACCCCTACCCCACCTTCTCTCCACTACAGATTTGTACACTCGAAGTCATTCTGTTTTGTTCCACCCTCTCTCCATGTCCAAACCATCTCAATAACCCCCTCCTCAGCCCTCTGGATAATAGTTTTGGTAATCCCGCACCTACTCCAAATCTCCAGACTATGGACTCTCTGCATTATGTTCACACCACACATTGCTCTCACAAATGACATCTCTACTGCCTCCAGCCTTCTCCTTGTTGCAACATTCACCACCCATGCCTCACACCCAAACAAGAGCATTGGTATAACTATACTCTTATACATTCCCCTCTTTGCTTTCATGGACAAAGTTCTTTGTCTCCTCAGACTCCTCAGTGCACCGCTCACCTTTTTTCCCTCATTGATTCTATGATTCACCTCATCTTTTGTAGACCCATCTGCAGACACGTCCACTCCCAAATATATGAATACATTCACCTCCTCCATACTCTCTCCTCCAATCTGATATCCAGTCTTCCATTTTGGTTATCCTCATCACCTTACTCTTTCCTACATTCACTTTTAATTTCCTTCTTTTACATACCCTACCAAACTCATCAACCAACCTCTGCAACTTCTCTTCAGAATCTCCCAAAAATACAGTGTCATCAGCAAAAAGCAACTCTGACAAGTACCACTTTGTGTTAGATTCTTTATCTTTTAACCCCACACCTCTTGCCAACACCTGAGCATTCACTTCTCTTACAACTCCATCTATGAATATATTGAACAACCATGGTGACATCACACATCTCTGCCTCAGGCCTACTTTTACTGGGAAACAATCTCCCTCTCGCCTGCATACTCTAACCTGAGCCTCACTATCCTCGTAAAGGCTCTTCACTGCTTTCAATAACCTACCTCCTATTCAATATATTTACAATATCTGCCACATTACCCCCTATCCACCCTATCATATTTTTTTTTTTCAACAAACCGGCTGTATCCCACCAAGGCAGGGTGGCCCAAAAAGAAAAACGAAAGTTTCTCTTTTTAAATTTAGTAATTTATACGGGAGGAGGAGTTACTAGGCCCTTGCTCCCGGCATTTTAGTCGCCTCTTACAACACACATGGCTTACAGAGGAAGAATTCTGTTCCACTTCCCCATTGAGATAAGAGGAAATAAACAAGAACAAGAACTAGAAAGAAAATAGAAGAAAACCCAGAAGGGTGTGTATATATATGCTACCGCCCAGGACGGTAGTACCTTCCTGGGTGGTTGCTGTCTACCAACCTACTACCTACAACCCTATCATATACCTTTTCCAAATCCATAAATGCCACAAAAACCTCTTTGCCCTTATCTAAATATTGTTCACCTACATGTTTCACTGCAAACACTTGATCTACACACCCCCTACCCTTCCTAAAGCCTCCTTGTTCATTTGCTATCCTGCTCTCCATCTTACTCTTAATTCTTTCAATAATAACTCTACCATACACTTTACCAAGTATACTCAATAGACTCTTTTTTTTTGTTTTTTTTCAACAAACCGGCTGTATCCCACCGAGGCAGGTGGCCCAAAAAGAAAAACAAAAGTTTCTCTTTTCAAATTTAGTAATTTATACAGGAGAAGGGGTTACTAGCCCCTTGCTCCCGGCATCTTATTCGCCTTTTACAACACGCATGGATTACGGAAGAAAAATTCTGTTCCACTTCCCCATGGAGATAAGAAGAAATAAACAAGAACAAGAACTAGAAAGAAAATAGCAGAAAACCCAGAAGGGTGTGTATATATATGCTTGTACATGTATGTGTAGTGTGACTTAAGTGTAAGTAGAAGTAGCAAGATGTACCTGAAATCTTGCATGTTTATGAGACACAGAAAAAAGGACACCAGCAATCCTACCATCATGTAAAACAGTTACATTCTTTCGTTTTACACTCACTTGGCAGGACGGTAGTACCTCCCTGGGTGGTTGCTGTCTACCAACCTACTACCTACAACCCACCCCTCAAGGAAGGTTCCTTGATGTTGGTGAGGGGCTCTTGATTTAGGGAATTGGATCTGTGCTCCAGTTCCCCGAATTAAGCCTGAATGCCTTCCACATCCCCCCCCCCCAGGCACTGTATAATCCTCCGGGTTTAGCGCTTCCCCCTTGATTATAATAATAATACCTACAACCCTATCATATACCTATTCGAAATCCATAAATGCCACAAAAACCTCTTTGCCCTTATCTTAATGCTGTTCACCTATATGTTTCACTGCAAACACTTGATCTACACACCCCTACCCTTCCTAAAGCCTTCTTGTTCATTTGCTATCCTGCTCTCCATCTTACTCTTAATTCTTTCAATAATAACTCTACCATACACTTTACCAGGTATACTCAATAGACTTATTCCTCTATAATTTTTACACTCTTTTGTCCCCTTTGCCTTTATACAAGGGAGTTATGCATGCTCTCTGCCAATCCCTAGGTACCTTACCCTCTTCTGTACATTTATTAAATTAAAAGCACTAACCACTCCAAAACTATCCCCACCTGTTTTTAACATTTCTATCTTTATCTCATCAATCCCAGCTGCTTTACCCCCTTTCATTGTACCCACTGCCCCAAGCAGTTCCCCCACATTTATAACTGGTTCTTCCTCACTCCTATAAGATGTTATTCCTCCTTGCCCTATACACAAAATCACAGCTTCCCTATCTTCATTAACATTTAACAATTCCTCAAAATATTCCTTCCGTCTTCCCGATACCTCTAACTCTCCATTTAATAACTCTCCTCTCCTTGTTTTTAACTAACAAATCCATTTGTTTCGTAGACTTTCTCATCTTATTAATCTCACTCCAAAACTTTTTCTTATTTTCGACAAAATTTGTTGATAACATCTCACCCACTCTCTCATTTGCTCTCTTTTTACATTGCTTCACCAGTCCCTTAACCTCCCCTTTTCTTTCCATATGCACTTCCCTCCTTGCATCACTTCTACTTTGTAAAAACCTCTCATATGCTAACTTTTTCTCTCTTACTACTCTCTTCACATCATCATTCCACCAATCGTGCTTCTTCCCTCCCGCACCCACTTTCCTGTAACCACAAACTTCTGCTGAACACACTAACACTATATTCTTAAACTTACCCCATACATTTTCTACCCCATTGCCTATACTCACACTAGCCCATCTGTCCCCCAACAGTTGTTTATATCATACCCTAACTGCCTCCTCCTTCACTTTATAAACCTTCACCTCTCTCTTACTTGATGCTTCCATTTTCCTTGTATCCCATCAGTCTTTTACTCTCACTGTAGCTACATCTAAAAAGTTATCTGGTACATATATGTGTTGCCCCTCTATAAACATGTACATCCTGAAATCTACCCAACAGTCTTTTATCTACCAATACGTGTAGTTCAACAAACTACTGTCATTATGCCCTATATCATATCTTGTATACTTATTTATCCTCTTTTTCTTAAAATATGTGTTACCTATAACCAAACCCCTTTCTATACGAAGTTCAATCAAATGCTCCCCATTATCATTTGCACCTGGCACCCCAAACTTACCTATCACACCTTTCAATGTTTCTCCTGCTTAAGCATTTAGGTCCCCTACCACAATTACTCTCTCACTTGGTTCAAAAGTTCCTACACACTTGCTTAATTAACATCTCCCAAAATCACTCTCTTCGACACTCCTCTCTTCTCCAGGTGCATACACACTTATTATGACCCACTTTTCACATCCAACCCATATTTTAATCCACATAATCCTAGAATTTCTATGTAGTAGGCTGGTAGACAGCAACCACCCAGGGAGGTACTACCGTCCTGCCAAGTGAGTGTAAAACGAGAGCCTGTAATTGTTTTACATGATGGTAGGATTGCCAGTGTCCTTTTTTGTCTCATAAACATGCAAGATTTCAGGTACGTCTTGCTACTTCTGCTTACACTTAGGTCACACTACACATACATGTACAAACATATATATACACACCCATCTGGGTTTTCCTCTATTTTCTTTCTAGTTCTTGTTTATTTCCTCTTACCTCTATGGGGAAGTGGAGCAGAATTCTTCCTCCGTAAGCCATGCGTGTTGTAAGAGGCGACTAAAATGCCGGGAGCAAGGGGCTAGTAACCTCTTCTCCTGTATATATTACTAAATGTAAAAGGAGAAACTTTCATTTTTCCTTTTGGGTCACCCCGCCTAGGTGGGATACGGCCGGTTTGTTGAAAGAAAGAAAGAATCCTAGAATTTATTCATTTCCTTATATTAATATGTTTTGTGCTCAAGATTTTGAACCATCTATACATAAAAAATTTCAAGGAAGTACAAAGATATAAAAATAAAAAGGGAGCTTATTTTATTTGAAATAATTTTCTGCATGCAGTGATCTTGTGTAATTGAAGTCAAGTAACTGGTTTAGTGGAGAGGCATCAGTAAGAATAGACAGCATGATTTTGGGAATATAATGGTAAAATTTTTTCTCAGATTCAACAATAAAATTTTGAAAATATTTTTCTGTGCAAAAAATGTAGTATGCTCAGAGGTACTGTAGTGTGGAATATGCTTGTTGGCATAAAATGGTGAGATAATGAGCTATACAGTGATCTTTTCCTTTAATATCAGGAAAAATTAAACTCGACTGCTGACTTCTGTCATGGCAGGGTGACTCCAACAAAAATGCATTCTCCAACATTCACTCGATTAGTAGTTCACCGAGTGCTGAACCTAATCTTTACAGAAATGTTTAGAGGGTAAAGGAAGCAAAATGCTTTTTTTTTTTACAGCGAAACTAAAAGATGTTAGGGAAAGGGCACTTAGAAACGGATTAAAAAACAAGTAAAGGAAGAGGGTACATGAAAACAAAGTTTAAAGATAGTGAAAATGTTTATGTGGAAAGGATCTTTTGGTTTTGAGCTTTGTAAGGATTGGAAGGTGTGCGGATAAGACTATCTGCTGCTCTGTGGTTTGGTTGAGAAGGTTCTGTGTATTAGATATGGATAGATGTAGCTGTCTATTACTTTATTATCCTTGCCTGTCGAGTAAAAGAGGCTATCATATTTTGTGTGCCTAACTGCTGGTCAGCTAATTTGACTTTAAATAAACTAAAACAAAATTAATTTATAAAATGATTAAATATTTTATGCCCTTATCCTCAATAGATGCTAATTTATTTTAAATAGCAGCATATCTTATAGGTACAGTATTTTTAAACGTATATTTTTTTTTTTTAGGAGAACAAGATACTGCTGTATGCTTGTCGAAATTGTGATTATAAGATGCCTACTGAAAACAACTGTATCTACGTCAACAAACTTATGCACGAGATTGACGAGCTGCGTCACATAAACCCAGAAGTTATACAGGCAAGTATTTTTATGCTTAGTGAAGGGAATGTTGTAATACTTTGTCTCTTAGCAAATCATAAGCAGACTTGAGATTCTTGATACAACATTAACTTTTTTATGGAACACTTACAGTATAGTCATCAAAAGTCACTTTCTTGCATAAATGCGGTGAAAACTTGATACAGGGTACAAACTAGGTTTAAAATTCTCTACTGTATTTTATGTTAATGGTAATAAAAATCATTAATCTCTCATGCATTGTTTACATGTAAACCATGTATTCTTGCACTTACTGTTACTTTTTTTGCCTCTGTACCCTTTGTATGGCATATAAGCTTGTCTTTTTTTCTTTTTCCTCCCTGTAAACATTCCCATTTATGTACAGTTTTTTTTTTTCTCTCAACAAGTTGGCCATTTCCCACTGAGGCAGGGTGACCCAAAAAGAAAGGAAATTCCCAAAAAGAAAATACTTTTATCATCATTCAACACTAAAATAAATTAAAAGCAGATGTAATTACTGTTGAGGACACACAAATCTGCGCCCAGTAAATACACCCGCCCGGGTAGGCTAGAAACATAGTCCAGCCAGAAGGGAAGAACTCTACCTAGACCAAAACCAGTTTATATTGCAGAAAAATCTTAACTACACATTTATGATGCTTTCTACAAGCTGCAACTGCATCACCTGCATAATTATGTTTTACTTTAGTAGTGCCTCAAGGGCATAGTTTAAAAACATGGTGCTTTCCTTTAATAGCATTGTCTGTCAAACTTGGCTTGCTTCTAAGCCTGAGATTTGACATGTCTTCTTTGTTTGTTTTGCATTTGCTATCCAGAAGTGCCTGGCTCATTTGAAAATTCATAGCTAGCATAAAGCACTAGCCTGGATTGTTTAATACAAAGTTTACAACTTGCCTGGCTAGACAGGCCTACCGTAAATAAAATCTGAATCTCCCACCTTATCTCTTTCCTTTATTTGTTTATTAATTTCTTACAGTTAAAACAACTGCTCTTGCACTATGTTTTAATTTGCTTTTCTGGTAAGTGCTCCCCACCCAGAGAAAGTGGGGAAAAGGAGTAATGACAATGAATTTGAATTAGGATGATTAAAAAATTAATTTCTTTTATTTTTCCAAAGGATCCAACACTGCCTCGAACTGATGACCATCCTTGCCCTAGGTGCAATACACGTGATGCTGTATTTTTCCAAGCACAGACAAGAAGAGCTGAAGATGAGATGAGGCTGTATTACGTGTGCTGCAACACAGAATGTACACACCGCTGGACTGAATGAATTTCTCTTAGTTTAAGAATATTACTTGTATAGAAGATGGTTGCAGATTTTTATGGATATCTCTATTTTATTGATTTAGTATGAGAGGAAAATGTTTGTACCTAAATAAAGGGATTGTTTAGATAATTATTTTCTAAACCCTTTCCATCTGTAGAGATAAGTAAATAGCTGATGTAAGAAATGACATTTACTCCTGAGACACATTACTCATATTGTACAATTATTTTTCTTTGTAGAAATAATGTAATTATTCTCAAATGTTTGTTTGTTTATTAAATTGGTTATAAGATGTATATTAATAATCCCTTTAATAGAAAGTAAGGAAAGCACAATGTACTGATAGTTATAATAAAGATACTGTATTATTTCCTATTAGCAGTAAAATTTTTTTCTGTTTCATTTTCTAGATGGGTGGGTTAAGGAAGAATAAGCATCTTATGTTACTAGTGGAAATATATTTTTATTTTTGCATTTGTTTCAACAGTTTTTCCAGCATATTTATATATATTTTTTCCATGGTTTGCTCCTTCACATTTGTATACCTTTTCTTCCTGAAGCATGGTTTGAGCACTCTGCATACATTTGACAGGTATGCTTTCTCTTCCTCTTGGGTGCACTGAACACTTCATATTTTTGACAGGTATGCTGTCTTGATGTGCGTGTATTTGTAGCAGCAGAACACACACACTTGTGGATATATCAATATGTACGTAAGCACTTAAAAGTTTGCTTTAATCCCTATTTTGGGGATTTAAGTATGCTTGAAGGGTGGAGTACAGGTGACATGATCCTCCATCTAATGGATAGGCCTTAAGGCAAATGAATAGCTTATTTAACATGTATTTCATCTAGCCTTGCAGTCCCTTCGCTTGTTCTTTCAAATAATTTCTATACCTTGCATAATCCTCTCATTTTTTTTTTAATGAACTGACTGCATCCCACTGAGGCAGGGTGATCTAGAAAAAGAAAGTTTTTCTTTTTAAATTTAGTATTTTATACAGGAGAATGGGTTACTAGCCCCTTGCTCCTGGCATTTTAATTGCCTCTGGTGACACACATGGCTTAGAGGAAGAATTCCTTTCCACTTACCCTTGGAGAACATTGTTCATATGATAATTCTAAAGTATGAAAATACCAGGTTTATTTTAAACTTTCTCATGCATACAGTGCTGTATTGGTTCAAGTTAGAGCACAGCAAATTGTTTCCATCAGACCCCAGTCTGTTCCTGGCCCTTTGCTTTTGATTGTTGTTGGATGTGGGGAATCCATGCCACATGGCAAGATGCCCAACACCTCTCCTATCTATCGTAAAGCACACTTTAATTCACCCTGCAGTGCTCATTCTGACCTCCAAATTCCACCTTAATGCAGACTTGCTTTCAATAGAAAGTAACCTCCTGCACCAACTCTTGACATTATTTTTTTATTATAAGCACCAACTTCAGTTACTCTTTCCTTTATACATGGACACCACAGCACTGTATGACCCATGCAGGTTTAGTGCAAATGGAGGGAAATAGTTTTTAGAGATTTGATAAGCTGTAGGAGTGAAAGCTAAGTAACATTTTGTGAAGGGATTCAGGGAAACTTGTTAGCTGGAGGTGGGGAGTAAAGTGCCTGCATTGTGTAGGAGGGGGTGGGGATATTTGCAGTTTGGAGGGGCATCTCGACTAGTATCTGCATGCCTCTGGCAAGACAGTGATAGGGTGAATGATGGTGGTAGTGTTTCTTTTTTGAATTGCCCTACCTTGGTGGGAGATGGCCAGTGTTAAAAATAAGTCCATTTTCTGTCATCTAATTTATTTTTTTTTTTTTCAGCAAGTCGGCCGTCTCCCACATTTTTTTTACCGTATTACTTGAAACCATCTATGTACCTTCCTAGTTATGTTACAATGACTTACGTTTCTGTAGGTCAGGCATGCACTACTATCTTTTGCATAATTAAATGCATAGGAACTTTTTTTTGTCAGATTTTTGGGCATTGAGTAAATGCTACCCATACCTATTTTCTACAACCAGATAACCACTACTGTTTCTTGGCCTTTACTATTCGCCCTATTAGAATCCTTCATGGAGGTGTATTGATGCCAATGAAATAAATGGAGCTATTCTTCCCTCGTATCACTCCTCAGAGGAGCGAGGGTCATTGATTTCAGTGAAGGGCACCTGATTTAGGGAAATGGACATAGCCTCCTCTTCCTTGGATCAAGCCTGATTGCCTCTTGTTCCCCCCAGGTGCTGTGACCTCTACAGGTTTTGTGCCCCTTCCCCCATGAATATAGAAATGTAATAATTCCTTTGAATCAAACCTGACTACCACCCATTCTCTAGGGACTGTGTAACTCAAATAGGTATAGTGCTTTTCACCAAAAATGCAGTAATAATTAGCTTAAATAACAAAAAAAAAGGCACAATACTGTGGGCACCTAGCTCCCTTGCAGTGCTCCCCTTCCTTTGTATTTGACTGGCTCGTCCTCCTTATTCCCCACTTCTACCACTACCACATTGCGTTGTATAGCCCTTGTGGCTTAGCGCTTCTTTTTGATTATAATAATAATAATAATAATACTGCTGCTGCTGCTGCTGCTGCTGCTGCTGCTGCTGCTGCTGCTGCTGCTGCTGCTGCTGCTGCTGCTGCTGCTGCTGCTTGCTGCTGCTGCTGCTGCTGCTGCTGCTGCTGCTGCTGCTGCTGCTGCTGCTGCTGCTGCTGCTGCTGCTGCTGCTGCTGCTGCTGCTGCTTTCTGCTGCTGCTGCTGCTGCTGCTGCTGCTGCTGCTGCTGCTGCTGCTGCTGCTGCTGCTGCTGCTGCTGCTGCTGCTGCTGCTGCTGCTGCTGCTGCTGCTGCTGCTGCTGCTGCTGCTGCTGCGGCTGCTGCTGCTGCTGCTGCTGCTGCTGCTGCTGCTGCTGCTGCTGCTGCTGCTGCTGCTGCTGCTGCTGCTGCTGCTGCTGCTGCTGCTGCTGCTGCTGCTGCTGCTGCTGCTGCTGCTGCTGCTGCTGCTGCTGCTGCTGCTGCTGCTGCTGCTGCTGGGTGCTGCTGCTGCTGCTGCTGCTGCTGCTGCTGCTGCTGCTGCTGCTGCTGCTGCTGCTGCTTTCTGCTGCTGCTGCTGCTGCTGCTGCTGCTGCTGCTGCTGCTGCTGCTGCTGCTGCTGCTGCTGCTGCTGCTGCTGCTGCTGCTGCTGCTGCTGCTGCTGCTGCTGCTGAAATTAAGACACATGTGCGGCGTCTGGGTGTCTTTGTTGTGGACGTTTCGCCATCCAGTGGCTGGCTGAATGGCGAAACGTCTTGATTTCATCTTGGCAGTATTATATACCTTTCTTGTACTACTACTACTACTACCACCACCACCACCACCTCTTCCTGCCTATATATAGCCGTCCTGCTCCACTTCTGGTTAGTGTGACTTTGTAAATGGTCCAAGTCGGACCGAAACGTTGTCGTAAGCTTCTCTCTTTTATGTGCGGGTTATTTGTGTATAATTAGCTTATTCGAGTGTGTCTTAAAGCTGTCTGGTTGACCAGGCTAGCACCAGACGAGCCTGGCCCATGGCCAGGCTTTGAGAGTAGTAAGACTCAAAACTCATCAAAGGTATATGTATACCAAAGGTAAAGCATGCTCAACTAAGAGCATTTCTTTCAGTTCACAATCAAATATTTGTTTCTATAGTAAGCACTCGGTACTGTATTTTAATTTATGCAGGTTTAATGCTTGTGAAAGTAATTAAAAATTATTTATGAACTTATTCCTCAAGATTACATCATCTGATTGTAGGGTCATTATGAGCTCTAACTTCTTCCCTCTGAGCGCAGACTCCTTTTTCTGATTTGGATCCCCTCAAGGAAGGTTCCTTGATGTTGGTGAGGGGCTATTGATTTAGGGAATTGGATCTGTGCTCCAGTTCCCCGAATTAAGCCTGAATGCCTTCCACATCCCCCCCCCAGGCGCTGTATAATCCTCCGGGTTTAGCGCTTCCCCTTGATTATAATAATAATAATAATCTGATTTGGAAACAATATAGCAGCGCTGTATAGCCCTTGTGGCTTAGCGCTTCTTTTTGATAATAATAATAATGGATACAATATTAATCTTCACTGATGCCTTGGGTCAAACTGGCTGGGACTACCCATGCCAGGGTGGCTTAGCCACAGTGACTAAGCAAGTGAGATTCATGTTTGTTTATCGTGCTGGGAAATATGTATTTAACTATCTATTTGCCTGTACATTAAGCATGACCTAGAAGGTTTTAGTTTTTTGTGAAAAAATAATGAACATTGAGACTGTCCTTCATGCTGCAGCCTGTATGTGAACAATAGTACTTGCCCAGCTAAATCAAAAGTTTGTTCATATTTAGCAAGGCCTAAGCAAGGATTTGTCTAGTGGCTGTATCCAGGCCCTCGGATGGTTACTTTCATATACAGTATCTTAATATTTCTGGGTACTTTCTTTAAATATGCCAACTTCTCTTCTTTGCATATCTTCATCTGTTTTTCCTGCCCTACTACTGGGATGGATTCTGTGTCCTGTCACAATCTAACGCAGTGATGCATACTCTGTGTCTGCCTCCAACTCGGTTATGTCAATTCTGTTAAGCTTCCGAGGGGGTCTTCTATCTTATTTTCTGGTGCTGTCAAGGCACTGTGTGACCCCTATAAGTTTAGCACTTCCCATGATTATAATAATTCTGGTGCTTCCATTGTGTATGTTTATGTTGTGTGTCCTCTATCTGTTATTCTCTGCTATCCAGTATTATAGGTGCTGTATGACCTGTAGGGGTTTAGCACTTCTTCATGAATATAGTTGTAGCCACTCTCTGATGTAAGTAGTTGCAAGTGCAGTTTTCTGCTAATGGTTCTTTCAAAGAGATTCCTTGCCGAGGTAACAAATTCTAACTACCCTCTCCTTCCTTGAATCAAACTTGATTATCCCCTATTCCTAAGCCACTGTATGGTATTTATGGGCTTAGTGTATTCCCAAAAATGTAATAATTGCTTAGGAAGAAAGCTCTTGGTTCATGGAATTGAACCTGATTTCCCCTTTCTATACTGAGCATATTTATCCAAATTATTGTGACTTGGTTAATATTGTAATGAGTGAATTTGACCTGTGTTTCCACTGTGAATGATGACATGACGTTGGCCGTCTCCCACCTAGGCAAGATGACCCAAACGGGAAGCTTTCACCATCATTTACACATAATCATTGTCTTTGCAGAGGCGCTCAGATACGACAGTTTAGATGCCACTCCAAACGGCCAATATCCCAAACCCCTCCTTTAAATTGCAGGCATTGTACTTCCCACCTCCACGATTCACGACTGAAGTTTGACTAACCTGTTTCCCCGAATCCCTTCGCAAAATATTACCCTGCTCACACTCTAACAGCTCGTCAGGT